TGGGGATGGTTTGGATCATGAGGAAAACCTCTTCCTTATCTTGGCCCTATTTACTACTTAATGATAAGGCCCGCATCCCCCCCCCCCCCTATATCCCCCCCCCACCCTTCCATGATATTTTTGACGATCCTAGCTTGTATTGTTTCTCACCCCAAAACAAGAAGAGCAACTGCAGACCCAATACAGCTGCCTATTTGTCTTTAATGCAACGGACAAACCCAGACTCAGTCTTCTTGATTGGGTTTCATCAACGGTCCTGTTGCTTTGGATATGCATCCCCACCATGTTTGGCTACACGTGGACATGCTCCTGTGGCTTGTCCTTCATTTGTCATTAAGGACCTTGACCACACCGCCTCGGTTGGGAACAACTTCCAACATGTTGCAACATCTTGTTGGGACGGGTGTTGCAAACTACCTCCCCACACACTGCACGTGTAAGTCTCGAGACGTGGGTATCCCAGTTTATTGCGACCACGAATTTTGGATTTGCATGTTTGAGCTGCGCCTGCGGGGTTTGCATGTCGGAACAGTACCATGACCTTGCATGATTGCTTCTTCGTACCCCAAACATGCGCGGGAAACGCTGGGATGAGGTCTTCTGAACCTTTTCCGACCTTATGTGCACTGCAATGTAGCTCCGCCATTTAAAAAGATTGTTGAAAGATTTCTTAGAAAAATCCCCGTGGATTGTGAAAATCCAGAACCCTAAGCTACATGCATATGTCAAAAAGCAAAGGGGCTCCCACAGATGTAAAAAGCAGCCGAAGCCACGTGATGATCGAGGTTTATCCGAGCCCCAAAAGTAAGGGAAATGATGGCCTTACACCCCTAAAGATGGTCAAAGGCGCCATTATCCTACATACTTTGCGAGGTTCAGGTAGGTTTTACCATCGCGAAAGCATGAGCCACGTTACATTCAAGATTCCGAAGCTCAAAGGCCCGAAGCCCCGAGCGTTCCGCAAAACAGCCTCAGGCAGGCCCTTCCGCAGCTGACTTTCGTGGTGCAGACCTCGGGATTTACCGGTTTGGATTTGGGTTTACGCTTGGGGGTCTAGGGCGGGAGCTTAAGTTTAAAGGTTTGGGTGTTACGCTCACGTTTTAAGGTTTCGGAATTTACGGTTTAGTGTGCAGGAGATCAAAGTTGAGGAACTCCCACAGAATGCCAAATATTCCAAACCGAGCACCGGGGGATTTTCTTCAAATTACTCATGCAGAGTCCTAAAAGGGGGCCCTTACAATTCCTCTACAATCCTTAACCCTTGGGCAGTACGGGTCCATATGCGCAATTGTTGGGTAACTTGTATTTTGGCGCGTGTACATCTAATGCAAGTTTGGGGACCTACATGAGTACAGTGCCCTCAACCCTGCATATGCTGGTGAGATATCTGGACATGATACATGAATATCTAACTGTATATTTTTCTAGACCCTTCATAGCGATACCTATAGGGGCGGGGACTTTTAACCTTGGCAAAAAATTGTTCCAAGGTCGTGGGGGTCTGCTCCTTGCTCCTTGTGGCCATCGTGGGTCGTCGGACCAGCATTAGCCAAGAGAGTCCAAACACCTAGGAATGCAATGTTTGCGAAATTCGTAGTATGTGTAGTAGTCGTAGTCGGTGTGGTATAGGTTTTGGGGAATTTCGAAGTACCTTGTTAGTGGGTACCCGTACGTC